ACAATGCATCTCTGATATAAAAATCTCACTCTTATAAGAAACCTTCCTAGTTCATTGGTTACTAAAAGACTATACAGAATTATTCTCAAAAGAAAGATAGCTGATAGTTTTACTGTTAATGAAAGAAAATGTAAATATGCTGAAGATGAAATATATACTAACTCTGTATATTTTTTTTCTTTGTATATGTATCCAAACTGGGAGTGTTACTAATCAGCTTTACTTAAACTGTTAGATCACAATATCTGCTAGGATTTTAATTGATATATTTGAACATCATAAAAAATATATAAAACAAAAATTAAACACATCTGCGACTTTTTCTTCTAATAAGGATAATCAAAATTTACTCCTAGTATATACTGTATATATATATGTTCTATCTATTCTATAAGATGTATCAGATAGACTTTGAGGTTAACTTTGAGTTTCATTACTAGAGACTTGATAATGATGAACAAAACCTTGATAATTTTGAAGTTGACGATTTTATGGATAATAATTTTATCCAAGAAAGACTTACATTTAAAAACTTTTATATATTTGAATTCGAGACAGATAATATACTTCTTGTAAGTTTTTTTTTCTCTTTTGCTATTAGCTAAACTTACTAATAAATTATTTCTTTACTTTTGTAGTATCTGTTCAGACAAAAAATTTTTTCTGAACTATTACAATTATATATGATGAAATCTTTACAAATTGGAAGGACATCTGGTTTGTCGATCTTGACAAACTATTACAAAATTTTGTAAGCCTGAACATAGAAAACTTTTATCTATATGTATATTACTAGTGCTAATAAATATTTGTCAAATACTGTATTAGAGGTCTATCCAACATTTTATTGTTACAAGCTGATAAATTTTCAGACTTGCAAGTTAAAATATTTTCCAGAGACACCTTGACAAGTTTACGAAAACATATGTATGATATACATACTGTAAGAACAAAAGTATCACAAACTTTAAAATCTATATTTTAGGAGTATATTGCGGTATTGTATTAATACAAAATTTTTCTTAAAAAACTTCTGATTGCATCCTAATTTTTGTTATTTTACTTATATTAGTTTGCAATTGATGAGAATCACAAATTAAATAAAATAGAAAGTTTTATACGAAATTCATTTACAAGGGCTTTTTTTTTTTTTTTTTTTTTTTTCCGCAGTTATGCCACAACTTTTTGATTTATTAAGAAGGTTAAAGTATAAATACATATATTCTTTACTATTCTCTAAGCTATATAA